CCACTCACCTCCATCCCCCCAAAACAGAGTTAGCTTAACTTGCTGGCAAGATATAATCCACATCTTGAAACACAGCTATTATGGATAATATATACTTTCAAGAAACTTTAATTGCTGAGTCTATAGCTCTTGCTGGAACTAGGAGCATCTATATTTCCCATTCATCACTCAAATRGTTATTAGTAAGTGTTCCCAACATTAGTTAAAGGCAAAATCTTCCTCTKCCCCTGTATGCTAGTACAAAGATCCAGTCATGGTTCAGAAATTATTCACAGTAATTCTTAAGACTCCAGTGTTAGTGATATCCGAGTATCCTTAGCTAGAGTTTCTGAGCTATGACCCTGGCAGTGGTTTCTATGTATAACCGCCCTACGTACCTGCCCATTTTTTTCCTTAAAAAAAAAAAAAAAAAACCTTCTGACTCAGCTAGTCAAAATTCAGTTTTCTTGCCTGCATTAATACACTTGATAAACAGAGTCATAGTCATACCTTCGATGGTCTTAGGCAGATATCCAGCTGTTTCTTTATTTTGTAGCCCAATAATATCAGCTAGAAAATTAGATGATGGAGGAGGCAAGCGGAATTTCTGAAATTAAGATTTTTATAAAAATGTTTGAGAGCAGTCGAAATAGTATGAATGGTCTAGAATTTTGTTAGCTCAGTGCAATGAAAGGTCTAGACCTTAACTGTTTGCATTGTAAAATAAAATCCATTTCCTTAATATGGAAGTGACTTGGTAAACAAAGCCACATTGGTATTAATAACCACCTGCTGGAAATTTTGTCTTTCATGTTACACCTTGTAAAAAAAAAAAAAAAAACAAAAAAAAAACAAGGAGAAACATTATACAAATGTACAACATTTTTGTATTTTCAAAGCTCTTCAATATTTATTATTTCACTGGACAGCATTTAAGGTAGTGAAAACAGATAATAATAGGATAAAGAGGGTGAGAGCTCTAGCCCTAAGTTTAACCTTCACTTTTTATAGCTGTAACTTGATCAAGTTACTCAGTTTCTTAAGTAAAAAACAGGGATAAAAACTCTTATAGGATTATTGTACAATTAAAAGTGATGAATGCAGTATGATTAATATAGAATTTAATATATAGGAAGTGCTTCATAAAATGGAGACTCAGGGAGATTAAATTAGAGTTAATCAAACACCTTCAGAAGTAAATGGATAAAAGAAGCCACTAGGGAATGGAGGCAGCTATGGGAAAATAGAGCACATGCCTTTTCAAGATGACAGCTGCTATTCAGTTCTGCATACCCTTCCTAAGGGGGCCCAATCTTATGATTTTTTTAAAGAGGTAAAAAAATAAAGATTTTATATAAACTTTATAATCTGAAAATATCATACCCCAAATTAAATAGGACAATATCAATCTGGAAGATACAGACTATAATTTATAAATAAGTGTAAGAAAATCAGAGAGAAATCTAATATCATTAACATGAGGCCTCTAACTCTCTATATTCCCTGCCATTTGTTAGGCGGTCATGAGGCATGTTTTCAGATACATGTATTAGTCTTAAAATGATATGACCTAACTCACCCCCTCTAATACAAAGTTTTCTTAACTTACGTGTTTGAAGGCTTTTCGGAGAAATCCAAACTCCAAATAGAACCTGTAGAAGTGTAGTTGACTCATCCCTTGAAGGATAACAACCACTATTCTCTTCAGTTGGCTTTGGTAAAGAAGCTGACACCACCTATTAAAAAAATCAAATCAATCAGCTCAGAGTGATACTCTAAGACAGTTTCAGGTATACTGAAGGAAAGTATGAAAAAATTAACAGGGATAGCTAAAGGAATTTTTTATCACCCACTGACTTCCTGGAATTGGAAGTCATTATTACAGAGAACTCAAAGATCTCTTAAGACAAATATTTGTTTCATTCAAGTAAAATACCAATGGAAACACAATGCTTTAAATTCACTATCCCATTAAGATTTGCTTTAAACCAGAACAAAGCTCATTTTATAAAGACTCATCCCAAGATCTCAACCTACATGCAGCCCCTCCTAAACCAAGTAATCAAATGACTGACTTCCAGAAATTCAATTTTAGATAAATTGACAAACTTACAGTACAGTTTTTATTGATATGGAAGGTGGCTTTTGAAGTATCTAGCCAATTTGTAACAACCTCCCCCAGTGAAATGCAGGTATTTACAAATTTTAATTTTGTTGGTATAAAATTAATTAGTATATAATTTGTTGGTATAAAAACAATTTTCAAAAGATAATAAGTCATAAGATAATAATGGCATTGACTATCAGAATAGCAAAATTCTCTTTGCTCTTTATTCATAAAACAAAATGACAGGAACTACTAACATATTATCAGGTTATTTCTATGGTTCTACACCATGGGGAAAGAAATAAAATATCTAAGGGAAGCAGGTCAGATGGGACACTGGAGCATACACACCTTATCTAAAGAGGAAAACCATTACTCAGCTTTGACAAATACTTACCAAATGGAGAGACAGAGTCAGTTGCTAGATTTTTTAGTTTTTTAAAGACATCAAAAATCTTGATTTTAGAAATTCCCAAATTTAACTGATGGCAGCTATTACTAAAAAATTATGATGAGGATACACCGAATAATAGATGTTGGTAAGCCAGACATAGCCCTTTAGATACTAGTTTGAGACCGTTGATCTACACACATCTCATACCTGGGTTTCTCAATATCCGGTTTACCCAGAACTGCATACTTCAGCAACTCACATAACTGTTCATGGGTTACTTCACAGTTTTCAGCAATTAAAATGCTAGCCAATCGGGCTCTCTGCAAAGGGGCATCGCAAACCATGATGATCAAGAATGGAAATAAAGCAAGGCAAATAATCATTCTAGTTTCTCATTAGTTTTACAATCATAACTAAGAATTCTAATTGAAAATAAAGCCCTAAAATAAGCTGTGATATTATTATCATATTTAATAAACATTGTTGTAGAACCCGAATTATACTTGGTTATGTTCTAAAAATATTAGGATGAATAAAATGCTTCATGCTCTCAAGGAGTCATCCCACTAAGGAAAGAAAAATGACAGGTAATTACAACATACCATGAGTGCTATTACAAATATGGGACCAAAAGTTTCAGTGACAGAAAAGCACTGGGGCTGGGCCTTGAAAATAAAATGTCTGTCCCATTGGAAAGAATATTGTGTCCAAACAGGTAGTATGGTTTGACTGGGGCCAAGATTGCATGTTGCAGTTATCGCAGTATGAGGGAAAGGACACAGCAACTAGATCATACTAAGCTAAGCAGTCAGCCAACAGGAAGTTCAATGAATCTCCCACCTCCTTAAGAAAACTTTGCACTTATATCTGGTTATCAAAGTAGTTCATGGTTGTCATGGTTGTTATTAAAGACTCAGAAAATAAGAGATAGGTAATAGATAATAGAAACACAATAGATAAATATGAAATCCATGTGTACAACTCATTTTTTATGTCTGGAAAGCATAATTGAGTGTAGGGGTCAGGAATTCAAACCTTGGGAATCATACTACCAGAGTTCAAATATCAAGTTCTATAATCTTGAACAAGTGTCTTAATTTTTCCAAGTCTTACTTTCCTGTAAGTGAGTAAAGTATAATTCTATCCATGAGATTGCTAGTGCAGCATATTAAGTCTATGTGACATAAGTAAATAGACAGTTATTGCTAAATTTTCTCCCATGGCCTTAAGTTAATATTGAGCACCTGCTATTAGCCAGATATAGTTCTGAACACTTAACATGTATTTAATCATTGAATTCAATTATTTAAGTACTACACTTCTCATTTTATAATAAAGAAATGAACAGGTAATAGAACAATTAGAATACAGACTACAAGGCCCCAATTCTATTCATCTTTTTACTATCCATTCCCTATCATTTAATGTAATGAATCTTTCCCTATCATTTAATGAATAGCTTGTTAGATAATAACTGTTAGGGATTATTATCTATCTGAAAAAAAAATTCCATATTGATAACACTTACCTAAAAATTTTCAAGATAAATTCCTAGTCAAATAGAGCAGGTAGATCTTTGGGTAAATATTGCTAACCAAATGTATGAGATTAAGGTAGAGATCTACGGTTAATGAAGAGTCTGAATGAAGTAAGTTTGGCTGTCATCATTATTATTCCTCTACTGGAACGCGAACTGCAAGGAGCGCAATTCCAATTGTGTGTTTCTGTGCACGAGGCTATTCCCAGAACTTCGAAAGCCTCCTGGCATCCTGAAGACCTCAGTTAAGAATGTGTGCCAGGCACTGTGCAAGTTTTAAAAAACAGCCCACAAAGTGGAAAGCAGCACAATATCATTCTCACTTTACCGATGAGCAGAGCCCACTCAGCAAAGGCAATGGGAGGGTGAGGCGGATCCCGGTTCGAGACTCCGAAGGAGGCTGGAATGAGGGGTCTGTAGGCTTCCCTTTGCTCACCTTGGGCTCGGGCTGCCTGTCCACGGGATCGGAACGGGATATCCTCGCCTCGGGGGTCCCGATCAGCTTGCTGGGGACCCGTCTCCTCTTCCTGCCCTTCCTGGGGAGCCTCCCGGTCTTCTCCTTCTCTGGCTCCATGATTCTGTGGGGAAAGACAAGCTACATCTGACAAACCTCGACGACCCCATTCCCCGGGACTCGAGGCGCCCCTCGTTCCCCATTTTACAGAGTTTTCCCCGTCGGCCCTCGGTAGCCAGGGTGCCAACGCGCCTCCCCTTCCCGCGGACTCGCCCACCACCGCGCGCCCCAACCGTCTGCCTCCCGAGGCCGGATTCCAAACGGCTCCCTAACGCCGGCCACGCCGCCGGCCCGCTGGCAAAGACGGAAGGGGGCGCTCCCTAGCAGCTTCCCCGCCTAAAACCACTCCCACAACCCCGAAGTCTCGGAAACGCGCGAGAAGCGAGGAACGGAGCTCCAGGCGCTGCGGCCGCCTCTGCCAACGCCGCCGCCTCAGCCGCGCCGGATGTTTGAACGGACCGGAAGTGGGGGTCAGTGGACTTCCGGCAGCTGGACGTCGGAGAACCCGGAGTGTTGGGGATGGCAACCAAGCGCCTGGCGCGGTACGCTAGTGGGTTTTCCGCGGTGCCAGGGAGGGTGGTCGCTCTGGGTCCGGCGCAGGCGTCCCGGGCAGGGCTGCGCTGGCGGCGTCCGCCGTGGCGGCCTCTGTTCTCCTCATTCTCGGCGTCCGGGATCGGCACGCTTTGAAAAGCTCCTGCCGGAACCTGGGTCTCCAGCCCCAGGCTGCGCTCCGCTAGGCGGGAAGGAGCCCAAGGAGCCCCGGCTTTCTCTTCTCCGTGGCCTGGAGCCTGCGTCTGCCCCTTGTAGCCTTGGGAAAACCACGGGACAGTGACAGCCCCGTGTAACTTGTTGGGAGGTCCCAGGCCGGCGCCAGTGCACCTATCATGCCTTTTGTCGCACCACTAACGAATGACCCAGTTAACTTGTGCTGCCTCAGCCTGGGAGTCGCTGCGATTACAGGCGTGCGCCACCGCGCGCCGCCAAAACTGTCCACTTGACAAGTTACCCATTTTCTCATCTAAAAAATGTGGGGACCAAAAATGTCTGCCTCCTAGAGTTGCTAGCTAAATGAGTTCACCGTGTATGTTTAGTACCTGCTGTGTAGTAACAGTAAATGCTAGTTATTAGTTATTCCCAAATTCCTACCCTTACCTTCCACCTCTTAGCAGCAATAACAACAAAGCAAAAATACAAAACAGCACTACAACAGTTAAAAACTCTCCCTGCCTCTCAGAGTCTCACCTTGAGTACTTGTTGTGGAATGCTGACCTTGGGGTAGAAAGCTATCCTCAGTGTAGAAAGCTGTCCTTGTCTTGATGCCAATCCAGCAAGAGAAAATGGTCTTGAGAAGGAAAAAGGATGGTTTATTGCTTTGCTAGCAAAGGAGAACCACGCAGGCACCTGTCCTGAAGGAGCTGCCCTATTACGGGACAGCAGGGGTCTATATACAACTGAATATACAGCCTGTTTCAATTCAGCATCATCCAGTCACAGCAATTATACACAACTTAACTTAATTATCGTCATCTTAATGGCTCSTCATCTTAATGGCTCGCTGGCCTCACCTCTCAACCATTCCTTCTGGCAAAATGCCAGGGGCCATTCCGACTCTGCTGTGGCTCTCCACAGCCCTGTGTTCATATTTTCTCAGAATTGTGCTGTATACATAGCAAAGACTTGAAAAAGGAAAAAAAAAACTAAAAAAATAACTAAAGCTCTTCAGTGTTTCTGTACCCCTACAATCATGAGTTCCCCAACATTACTGTAAAATACAGGGAGCAGATAAAATTAACCTAAGTTTGCTAATATGTGTTTGAGGTCTATGTAGGTAAAATGACTACTAAAAATCAAAAGAGGATGACAGCCCAGCCGCTCAGGAGGCTGAGACAGGAGGATCATGAGTTCAAAGCCAGCCTCAGCAACTTGGAGAGGCACTAAGCAACTCTGTGAGACCCTGTCTCAAAATAAAATATAAATATACAAAAAAGAGGATTACAGTACAAGAACCCAGGTCTTTTTATTTTTTATTTTTATTTTTTTAATTTGTTTTAATTAGTTACACATAACAGTACAATGATCTTGACATCACATTTGAATCAAATGGGGTATAATTTCTCATTTTTCTGAGTGTACAGGTTGCACAATCTCACTGGTCATACAGTCACGTATATACATACAGGAAAACTAGTGTCTATTTTATTTTGCTGTCCTTCCTATTCCCCCTTCCCCTCCCCTAAGGAGACCATCATCATTATACAGATTATATGTATGATGATGTGAAGTGGGAAAAAAAAAGAAAAAGTACCCAGGTCTTTCCTCCCAAAGTCTAGTTTAGTTTCTCTTCCATCAGAGCACATTAAGGAGTACTTTGCCATTTGCCCAGTAGTGTGAATGGGTTCATTGATCTTATTGGGTTGTTTTACATTTTTAGGCAGCTTGGATTAATTAGGAGAAAATCAGTTGCACCAGCAAATGAGAAACAAGGAAGAAGCAAATCCAGTAAGTAATGCGCTTAATTTCTTTACATTTTGTAGCCTGTATTTTCACCACTAATAAAGCATAAGAACACCCTGATCTTTTGCAGAGCAGTTGTATGACTACTTAATTGTGATTGATTTTGAATCCACCTGCTGGAATGATGGGAAACACCACAATAGCCAGGAAATAAGTAAGTCTGGAATTCCAATAAATTCCAAACAAATTTAGCATTAAGGAAGTCATTTTAAAGTTTATAGATATAAACCAGCCAATAGTTTAGGAGATGGTCTATGAATTGGTAGTTTTATATAAAACCTGTCTTTATTTAAAAACAACAAAATCCCAAATACCTAAATGTATCATTGTGTAAAATAATTGTTTTAGAATTATATACAAAACCTCAAATACATAGAAACTAAAACAATTATTTCAACTTCCATATGGTCTTCATATTTAATTGTGGAACTATAGAGATGAATATGATTTCAGTATTTTCAGTATTTTTATTTATGGTTTATTGTTACTTCATATCATACTCCTTTGGTCTCTTATTATGCTTTTATTGAAATTTATTGTTTAATAATTCTATTTTGACAATATATGTTTAGTTTAAAATGACTATAGCATTGTTAAAACTTGTATATTCAAGTGTTGGTTGATAATTCTTTGATTTAGTTGAATTTCCAGCAGTATTGCTGAACACATTAACTGGAGAGATTGAATGCGAATTCCATGCTTATGTTCAGCCTCAAGAACATCCAATCCTTTCGGAATTTTGCATGGAGCTGACAGGCATAAAACAGGTATGATGCAAATTTTAAGATTCATAAATCAGTTTTAGAAAAAAAAAAGTTGCTATAAAATATTTGGTTTTTCAATTACATTGACATTTTCCTAAAATATAGGAAATATGACGTTCCTAATTTAACATCTTTCTCTTGTTTCTGAAACAGTAAGGGTTTTATTGGGTTTTAAAATACCATTTGGTATTTTATTTATTAAGTGTTAAGAGAAATAATGTCCTCTCCCAAAATCCACTGGGATATTTAAAAATTAGAATTGTGTTATAAACATGACGATCAAGTCTGGCTCTACAGCTCAGTGGTAGAGTGCTTGCTGAGCATGTGGAAGTCCTGGATTTCAGTCCCCAGCATTGGAAGGGGAAAAACAAAGAAATGATCCTAAGGAAATGAAGTAACTCAARTTTATCTTTTATTTCTGTCAATCTGGATTTAATGATTATATTTCTGTCCAATTTTAGATTTATCAACCAAATTCTTATCTTGGTGAGTTCTAATCGTTAAAGAACTCCTGTGTATCTTAACATTTTTTCACTGGATAAATTCTTTGCCAGTTAGAACCTCTTTGTTATATCCTCCCATATAATTATAATGTCTGCTTAATAATTATAGAATTTGATTGTTGAATTCAGATTTTGTGACTCTAATCAGGCTCAAGTTGATGAAGGAGTCCCTCTGAAGATTTGCTTATCTCAGTTCTGTAAATGGATTCATAAGATTCAGCAACAGAAGAAAATTATTTTTGCTACTGGGGTTTCGGAGCCTTCTACTTCTGCAGCAAAATTGTGTGCATTTGTTACTTGGTCAGGTAAAAAATAATAATATTTGAGTTATTCCTGTAAACCACAAATGGGTAGCATTATAACGATGTCAATTTTTTTTTTAATATATACTTTTTTAGTTAAACATGGGCACAATATCTTCATTTTGTTTGTTTATTTTTATGTGGTGCTGAGGATAGAACCCAAGGTCACATGTGCGAGGTGAGCGCTCTGCCACTGAGCTACAGCCCCAGCCCAACGATGTAAATCTTTATTGCTAATTTTCTACTTAGTAATCTAGAATTATACTTTTTTTCTTTTCTTTTTTTGGTACAGGGTATTGAACTGAGGGGCACCACTGAGCTACATCCCCAGCCCTATTTTGTATTTTATTTAGAGACAGGGTCTCACTGAGTTGCATAGCGCCTCGCCATTGCTGAGGTTGGCTTTGAACTCGAGATCCTCCTGTGTCAGCTTCCCCAGCCACTGGGATTACAGGTGTGCACCACGCCCAGCTACAATTATACTTCTTAACCTGGACCAGGAAAATAAATTCAAGTTCCTCACAGTGTTAACCAAGAAAAAGTAAATTTGCTCATATCTTTAACATTATGATACTGGATACCTTAAAAATATAAGCATCAGCTTTTAGAATCTTTCAGGGTTCTTCTGAATGTTCTTCTGAATTCAGACAATGATTCATTGAAAACTCATTATGGTATTTTCTGTATCCTTTAGAATAAAGAGTCATGAGGTCACATCCTTTGCTTTTATGCATTGATCCTTACTAATATAGATATTAAGAAAAAAAATGAACCATTTAACATAGGTCTTTGTATGACCATGATAAATTAATCAATTAATTGCCATTAATAGTCATTGATAGCAGTACAGCACCCTTGATAACATAGATTGATAGTCATAGTTGGATTCAAGTTGCTGTAAAATATTTGGTTTTTCAATACGTTAACATATTCCTAGAATATAAGAAATATGACATTCCTAATTTAACATCTTGTTTCTGAAACAATAAGGGTTTTATTGGGTGTTTAAGAAATCATTTTGAAACTTAGTTACCAATGTAATTTCTTTAATAATAAGTTATTTAAAGGAATAAAAAGCATACATGTTATTATTAGTTATTAGAAGAGCAATTTAGCCTTACTGTACTATTTTATATCATCTTCCATATTTATTTGTAAGTGGAAGGAAATTCTGACGTAAATAACTTTGTTCTGTTTTAATTTGCTTAATGCAGACTGGGACTTGGGGGTTTGCCTGGAGTATGAGTGTAAAAGAAAACAACTGTTAAAACCCGTGTTCTTAAATTCCTGGATTGATCTCAGAGCAACTTACAAGGTAAGAGTGAAAGGCAAGGGCATGTTCATTTTCCTTCTATTGAAAAATGATTACATTATTTCCCATACATGGTATTGGTATTTTCTTTGGGAATATTCATATAAATATGACTTTTAAAACAATACAATAGAAATAAGCATATTTCAGGGGCTGGGGATGTAGCTCAAGTGGTAGTGCACTCACCTAGCATGGGTGAGACACTGGGTTTGATTCTCGGCACCACATAAAAATAAAAATAAAGATATTGTGTCCACCTAAAAAAAAAAAAACTGAAAAATAAATATTAAAAAAAAGAAATAAGCATATTTCAAATTCAATAGAACTAAAATTATGAAAAGTAGTTAATATCTAGCCTTTCAAGTAGTAATAACATTTTTAGCTATGTTTTCTTTGATTTGGTCAGCTCTTCTATAGAAGAAAGCCAAAAGGACTAAGCGGTGCCTTGCAGGAAGTGGGAATAGAATTCTCAGGACGAGAACATTCTGGTTTGTATAAGTGGCAAATCATTTTATTATGTAACTCAATTAAGTGTTGTAAAAAAACTTAATATAAACTTCATTTTTTGATAATGCCATTTAATAATAACAAATATCCTTCAACCTAAAAGTTGCTCCTAATCTACACAATTCAAATTGTTTCTGTTTTTGGTGTTACCAATTTCATGAACTATTTAATGTAAAAATTGCCATCTAGTGGCTTTCTAGTTGCTAAAAAGAATGAAAAGAATTAATCAGTCAAATCAAATGGAGATGTTAAACAAGTACCCAAATGATACAGTGGATTAGTGAAAGAACTGAACAAGGCTATTCACAAATCATGGTTCCTATAGAATGCCAGTTACATTTTTAGTAACTGAAACAAATTTTTACTTCTTACTCTGCAAATCTAGGAGATCTTCTCTTTCATTGATAATGTGGCCATAGCTTTCCACAAGACCAGTTTATTGTGATTAAAATTTGTAGGTGATTATAAAGTTAACATATGCCCCAATTTTATTTAAGTGGTAATTTTTTCTTCTTGCTGTTTTTTTCTTTACACTACTACTGAATTCAGTGTTTGATATCTATTTCCTCAGGGTTGGATGATTCTCGCAATACTGCTCTTCTTGCTTGGAAAATGATCAGAGATGGGTGCCTAATGAAAATTACAAGGTCCTTCAACAAGGTCAGTGGTATATTCCCTTTTTATTCTGTTATCTCAAACTCCAGAGTGGGTTCACTGAAATGTGGATTTCATATGTGTGATAATTTATTAATAGATGACATATTTCTTTTTTGTCATATCACATAATTTCTGCTGAAGAAAGTATAAATGCAGAATTTCTAAAGCTGTCGGATTTGTCTGTGGAATCGTAGGTTCTCACAAAGAAGAATCCCAACATTCTGGCCAGAAATTTGAATACAAATCAAGAAGAAACATCTGCCTGCAACATTAGCATCCAGGGTTCCAATATACATGATAGAGAGCCTAAAAATACAATAAGTGCTCATGAAAAGGTTCAAATGAATTTAGTTTGTGTGAATTCCCCTATAACAGTACAAAAGGATCAGTTACAAGTAAAGAACAATATAAAAGCCGGTCCTCACAATGTCGAAAGTTGCTTATCTGTTTTTAATACTAAGCCCTCTACATCTTTGGGACAGTTGCAGTCTCCCAGCCTAAATTCATCTATCTATGTGCAGAAGCAAAAAAAAAATGAACATCTTGTAGTTAATACCAAATCTAAGTCTTCAACATTTAATTCAGAATTGGTACTTGTCTCTACTACCATTCCTTCTGTTAATCATGTTTCTGAAGTGGAAATGAGTTCTACTCTTGACTCTTTGCCTATGTTGGCTGAATGGGAAGACATAGTTTTACTGCCAGCATCTCAACCTGAGGAAAATATAGATAGTCTACTTCCTATTAGTGACACAAATGTAGAGACTTCACTTAGTTCTGGAGAAAGAGTAATGGTTTTAAAAGAGTCAGAAGTGCTGAGTCATGAAAATTTTGGAGGCATCAAGAAAACTTTAAAGGAATTGGAGACCACTAAGTCCATTGTGTATAAGAGTCCTCACACTACTATTTATAATGTAAAAGAAGCTAAATATCCAGGTTCAGATGTGTCTGCCTTTAAATTACCTGAACGCAAATTATGTGCCTTTAATGGTGTTAATGCCAGTGCATCTCATCCTTCAGTTTTGGGGAAACATCCTCTTTCTTTAGGTGTCTCTAAAAGGAATTCATCTAGTCCCCCAGTTTTCCCACCAGCAAAAAAACAGACCTTCACTATTCATGAAGAACAGCCAGCATCATCTGTTTGCTCCCCAGGAAAAAGTTCTTGTCAGAAGGTTGCCCCCGCTGTATTAACTTCTGCAGTGAATCCACAAGAGCCTTGGAAGAGTGGGAAAATGACACCTCCCTTATGCAAGTGTGGCCGGAGATCTAAGAGACTTGTTGTTTCTAACAATGGACCAAACCATGGAAGAGTCTTCTATTGTTGCCCTATTGGCAAATACCAAGAAAACAGAAAGTATTGTGATTATTTTAAATGGGAACAAACACTTCAAAAGGAAAAAGCCAACAACACGCTTCTATCTCATTCCTCAGGGAGACTCACTTTTAGTTCTCCAGTAACAAGCCATATTCGTGATAGTAATTGTCTTCCTACTAAAAATTCTTTGAGACTCAGACCTTCAATGAGGAATTGATAAATTTTCTGTACAGTTAAACTGTTTTTACTTTTAGGACAACTTTTATGTGACTTTTAGTGCAGGAAAGATAAAAAAGTATAGTGCTACAAGTTATGGAGTCTTACCATATCTGAATTCTGTAGACTGTATTGTAGCAGATACACACACGCACTCACACAAGCACACACACACATACAGAAAGAAAATATATTTCATGCCTTCCACTTTCACTCACCATTTGCTTAAYAATTGCCTTCTGTTTGTTCAGGTATGAATCCTAATTACTCCTTAAATTCCCAAACATGAATATTCTGGTACTATCTTACACATTTTACTTATATTTCATATAATAATGTTTGCTGAATTTTCATGCCTCCTTGAAGAATGACCAAATATTTTATAAACTGTATTCATTAGGTTAAATAATCAATAATAGTACATGATATTYATTTTTCTAGTTAGACCTTGAAACAAATTATAAGCTATTTTTAAATTATTTGAATAAAAATGTGACTAATAAAATTTCCTACTCTATTTTTAGGTAGATACTTGAGAATTATGATAATCTCCAGATTGATATTTTTTATTTTTCTGAAAAATTATAAGTTGTTTAGTTTTATTCAAGGCTTAATTATTCTAATTTGTATATTCACATATTGGAATTATTTAACTAAGGCTTAAAATCCAATGTGGCAGAGATTTGATTGATCGATAGAACCTGCTTCTATACCAAACATTTAAGAATGCTGTGATCTGGGGATATAGCTCAGTTGTTGAACATGTACCTGGCATGTGCTAGGCCCTGGGTTTGATCCAAGAAGTATCAAAATAAAAATTCCTGAGCAACTGATGACATTTATTTTGTGATGCCAAATTATAGGAACATTGACACTGGTGCATAGGAATCTATTGAATATTTTATTTCAAATTCAGCCTCTGATGTCTAATTACAGAATATTTTAAAGCAACAGTTTATAAGCATACTGTCACAATTTTTTAAAATCACCTCTTACTAAACTTGTGGTTTCTACAAATTTATAGATACTATGTTTATTTCATGTGTACTATAATAATGGGATGAATTTAAATTGTTTTCCATTCTTTCTTCTTCAGTTCATTTCTTTTTATCTTCCCACTAATAGTCTTTGGCAGCTCTTGAATAAATTCTACCTGTTAAATATCAAGAAGAAGAAAATTAGTCTAATTAGTCTAATCTAATTAGTCTTTATCTTTAGATAAAGCCATTTATATAGTGGTTCTATTATGAATTCTAGATGAAAAGATTAGGACACCTCTTGTGGGTTTTGGGTAACCAAATAGGGAAGGGGATATTGTTGAGTAGATTTTTTCTTGATATTTAGTATTTACCACAAGTTCACTGAGCCAAGTTAAGAGTTTAATTTTAAAAATTCAGATTCTTATTTACACATCATTAGTTCAATTTGAAACACTTTATGTAGCATGTTTGAGGAGAGTGTTCATTAAAAAGGAGAAAATAAACAGTTGAAAAAAATTCCATAACACTGAACAAATATTCATCATAAATAGGATGCCTACCTTTCTTGGGTATTTGTAAGGTGCTGTACTTCTTTTTACATGATCCTGAATCTCCTTTTTTAATTGTTCTTGGTCATGTGATTTATAATCAGGGTTCAAAACAATAAAAGCTTTTACAACCTAAAATAAATATTTGAAACAGCAGAAAGATGAGTTGTATTTTTTTGTTTTGTTTTGTTTTAGTACATCTTACTTTCTCCAACTGGGAATCTTTGTGCTGCTGGGTAGTGTGCACAAAAAGTTAAACAGTTTGAGCTAAACTAGCCAGTTGATTCCCGCACTTCTTGTTCCACACCCAATACAAGAGACTTTCTGGGATCCCTGAGTTATTTATGGTATACTCTTGAACTCTCTCATATAACTACATTTTGAATTCTTGCTTTCTGACCTATTTCTGACCATCTCTGTCCTTGACTTATTGCCTTATTTTTATCTCCTTTAATAAAGTTTCCTCTTGAAACTTGGCAATGCACTAAGCACAGCCTCTTTTTGTAACAATARACTCTATTCCAGTGTAGTTTCTAAGACTCTACTCAAATAAACTCTGTTATGTCTTTCTAAAAGTCTTCACAGAACATTATAGAGACATGTTAAATTAACAAGGAACAACCTAAAATTATAGTATGAGCTCTGAAGTCAGACAACCTGGGTTCAAGTCATAGTCTGTTGTGTCATCTTGGGCAAGTTAGGTCATCTTTYTGTGTTTCACTTTCCTTCTCTGTAAAAGAAGCTGCAAGGAGTACGTAAGTCAATAAAGACATAAGGCTTATAATAATGCCTGTCCCATAGGAAGTCATCAAAAATGATAGTTCGTAGGTATGGTAGTAAAAGTACAAAGAGTTAGGGTTTTGTTTTGTTTTATTTTAATTTTTTTAACCTAAAAATAAGCATATGGGCTTCAAAGCTTCTCTGAAATTCAGTGAATCTAAGTCTATGGCTATATCATTCAGTATGGTAGCTACTAGCAATATGGATGTTTAACTTAAAATCAACCAAAATTAAATTTCCTTAGTCATGGTAGCTGCATTTCAGGTATTAAAATAATCTGAGGCCATTATATTGAATGGTGCAAATATAGGACATTTTTATCATTGTCTAAGGATGACAGTGGCCTATGGCCTTTTTCAAATTTTCAGAGTGGTGTTTGAGCTAAGAAAAATTTAGGAACCAGTCATCTCAACAAATAGTGTTCACCTATTTATTTCACAATCCAATGTTAAAATAGTATTTAAAGTATCTATTATTTTCAAAAATAACAAATGCAAGTTATCCACTCCTTTAACACATTGGAAATTTTGTCTTTTAAAGAGGCTATAAAAAGCACACATTTTTAAAATCGTGAAAATGTAGTTAAATCGATGAAGTAACTCACTGGCTAAAAAATTTTAAAAGCAAAGTAACCATGTGAAACTCCTGAAAATATTAAAATGTGAAAATCAACTGAGAATGTACAAAAATTATCAATATAGGAGTTAAGGAAATACTCATTTTAAACCCTATTTGCTTTTGGATAATTTACCAGAGAAAAAAATTAAATATTCATGAAAATTGTCAAAAGTAGTTTTGTTTAGTTGATAGTGTGAGGATTTTTTTAAGTTCAAACACTGCAACAGTGTTTAATATAGGCAACAGTGTAAAAATGTACATATTAGATTGAAAGACTATGGTGTTAAAAATTATCAATATTTGGAATCTTGTCCTTAAATCTTCATTTTATCTGTTTTTTTAATTATTTTAAATTATTTATTTAATTTGTTATGTGTGATAGCAGAATGCAATTCATTTGATATTGCACATGTAAAGCACAATTTTTTAAGTCACTGATTGTACACAAAGTATTTTCACACCTTTCTTGTCTTATACGTCGTGTACTTAGGGTAATGATGTCTAACTCATTCCACCATCATTCCTATCTCCTTGCCCGCCCCCTTYCCCTCCCTCCCCTGATTAATTCTTCTAGAACTTGTTACCCAATCAAAGACATGGCTGGATCTAACCTGGAAAAGGACTCAATCCAGCTAAAATAGGTCTGCCACCAGAAAGAAAAGAGCTGCCTATGTCCTACAGCACATGGCATGGACCCCTTGTTTGAAACACCCATGCATCTTTTGCCAGGAAATRTTGCAGCTCACAAGTATTGGGAAACTGGCCAAGTCCTATATCAAGACCCCAGAGTTGAATCAGGGCTGCACAACCCACTTATCAGATCTTTGCTCTGTCATCTGTGGGGTATCAGCCAATCCTAGCCCTAAAGTGTCCAGGACCATTGTGTTTCAAGTCAGCACTTGTCTAGGTGGATAAAAGTAATGAAAGGCATGGGAGAGGCTGAGACTCTGGAAACCTGCCGGTAGAGTGCAGTGAAGAGATCTGCTCTTACCTACAGGGACTATATATTCCCTTTCCTAATAAATAGGGTCTTTTGTTATAGAAACATTCCAAACCAGCAAGTGCTGGTCAATATCCAAAACTACTTTGGGCCATTTAGGAAGACGTAAAGCTTATCCTCTTGCATCAGTCCCAGGACACAAATACACCCTCTTTGTACTACAATAAACATCTCCCATTTCTGCCTTAAACTTGACCTATTCAGCCACTTAGACTAAATACCTGTAACCCTGCCCCTTACCTGGAACTTCAAGTCCTACACCTTCGAGATAAGATACTCAAGTACATGGTTCAGAACATTCTGGACTACTGACGTCAATGTTGTTTTCAAAACTTGATTCGGTGTTTGAGATACTGTCCTCAAATCTTCATTTTTATCTGTTTTTGATCAATTCTTCTGGAATTTGCTATACAAGACTGGATATGGACTAGAAAAATACTTGAGGGAACATGGAGCCTACTTTTACACAAACACTGGAGGCGTTTTTGCTTGGCAAAAGAGGCCTGAAGAGCAGCATGGGYTCTTAAGCACAAACTACCACACGGTCAGCCCCTGCTTATTTCTGAAACTTCTGCTCATAGGCCTACTCGTTTCTACTCATGGCTGCCTCACTTCCTGACTCTGACCTTCATCTCACCACTGATGTCTGACACCAGGTCCTCCTTTGCAATGCCAAGCACCTTATTGGTTTCCACCCCTTCTGGGTAACAATTTGATCCATCTGACTTCTAAAGCCCTGTCCTGGAGTGATCCTGGATGATTGGCATCATCCCATCTTTGTCACAGTACTCCATGGAATTCAGGTTCGGATTCTTTCTAGTACACATTTTTCAGTTTTGATCTGTAGCAGTTCTTTCTGACTAGCATATTTATATCTAACTTGCATTTAGTATGATTTTTTGCTGTTTGTTTGTTTTGGTGAGTGTGGAACTGGGGATTGAACCCAGGGCCTCACACATGCTAGGCAAGAACTCTACCACTACACTATATCCTCAGCCCTTTTTAGTTTATTTTGAGACAGAGTCTTAAGTTGCCCGGGTTGGCCTTTCACTTGTGATCTTCCTGCCTCAGCCTCCTGAGTATCTAGGATTACAGGTATGGTTTACTAATCCACCTGGCTAAGTAAATGAATATTTGTCAGGCTTGCATATGTAGTGAATGAAGCATTTGTGTTATTCTGTTTCAAGGAAGTACTGTGTAAAAATATGTGTCAGATTGCCAATCAATTATAATTGAGATGAATCAGTTCATTTACCTCTCCTCTGATGGGATCAGGGCTGCTGACAACAGCTGACTCTGCAACCGAAGGGTGCTCCATCAAGGCACTTTCTACTTCAAATGGCCCAATCCGATAACTGGGAAAGCATATGGCAGGAGTCAAGACTCATTCCAGTATACTGATGATCAGTTAACAAAGACATACACAGTTGGAGAAGAACATTACCCAGAGGATAATATGACATCATCCGATCTTGAAACAAACCAAAAATATCCATCTTTATCCATGTACCCTCTGTCACCCGTGACATAGAAGTTGCCTCGTAGAGTTGAAGCTGTTTTTGAAGGATCATCCTGCCAAAATTAAATAGGCTTTTATTAATGTGACTCTTCTGTTCAGTTGGTTTGTTAAATGTTCAAAGAAAAAGTCTTATCTCCTTTGAGAAACCCTTAGAAGGAAGAGGACCAGAGTATGAAATTGGGATGAAATTCCAACATGGACCCAATCCAACCAACCTAAGAGTAGGTTGTTACAAAGAATAGATAAGACTCCTCCTTGAGAATTTTCTTAGATAAGTCACAAAACAAACGTTGGAAGAGCTCAGAGAAATAGGCTAATTTAAGCCAGGTGGGGTAGCTCATACCTGTGGTCCCAGCAGCTGGCTCAGGAGGCGGAGATAAGAGGATTGCAAGTTCAAAGCCAGCCTCAGCAAAAGTGAAGCACTAAGCAACTTAGTGAGACCCAGTCTCTAAATAAAATGCAGAATAGGGCTGGGGATGTGGCTTAGTGGTTGAGTGCCCCTGAGTTCAATGCCCAGGACCCTGCCCCCTGCCAAAAATAGGCTAATTTAAGTCTTTTGTTAATTGGCTAATACCCAACACTGGTAGAAAAAGAGAGAAATGAATACTCGGAGTTAAAAGAAAGCACCAACACCAAAAACAGAATTCTGGCATAAAAAGAAAAATAAGTGAAGAATTGTCATAGTATGTAARGTTCATGGGCAAGTAGAACCTGGACCTATGCCTCTTATTATATTGAAATAAACTTTGCTTTAATTTGCTTTTCATGATTGGAGATAAAATGTGCTTGTAAACAGTAAGGAACTGGAAAGCCTCAAGAGGGAGGAATTTACTTAATCAGATTGCCCTAATCCTTGTTCCTCCCACTCCTCCTAAGAAGAGACAGTGCTAATCGGATGTCAGGAAAATGAGTGGGTATGATTTGATGGTTAAGAGGATCAGTGGATGCTAAGAGGATGTGGATGTAACAGGCTGTCTTCTTTCTAGGGCTCCCTTCTTGCCTTTATGATTGTCTAGCCTGTGGGACCACTGTGCTCTTTAGTAAGCATTCAAATGTTTTTTCAATTCCCTTTCTGTGGAATTACCATTCAGGAAAATGAATCTCTTCAGAAAGGGACAAGTACCTGCCTAAATGGTTGTTTTTTTTTTTTTTTTTTTGACCAAGCAGTTTTGAGAAATAGAAAACAAGAGATTTAAAAACAAGTCTCTTACTACATAATGAGTAAAAAGGCCAAATGGTCGGTTAGGTAGAACTTGAATTCCAATATCTCCTTCTTGTTCAGGAGGTAGAATATTGCCACTTTCATCTAAAATCTAAGATAAAACAGAAAAACATTTTAAGAGAATTTTTATTCAATATCACATCTTAAATCTTTGTATTTTTTTTTTTTTTACCACTTAGGGATGTAGACTTCAAAAACACTTTAAGTATGCCTTAGAGAAATGTATATATTTAAATTCTTCTTGCACACATAAAATATTATCAAATGCAGATTGTCAAAATGTGATAACAATTTTCTTAAAGTCTATCATCCATAATAATAATCACATTTTGGTAATATTCTTTTAGCAACATAGACATAGAAAAAAATAAGATCACGCTTTATCTCCCCCGCCCCCCGCCGGGGGTACTGGGACTCAAGCCCAAGAGCAATGTCCCTCTGAGCTACATCCCCAGCTCTTTTACTTTGAGATCAGGTCTTGCTAAATTTCCCAGGTGGGCCTTGAGCTTGAGATCCTCCTAACACAGCCTCCCAAGGTGCTGGGATTATAGGCATGAACCACTATGTCCAGGTTATGTAGCAATATATCTTATTAAAAATAAAAACATGGATTTTAGGGTCCTATACCAAATCTATTACATCAGAATTTCCAGGGAAGGCCCCATGTAAGATAGAATCTGAGCTCCCTCCCCTGGAAGTGAATCCATCTTGCCTTTTGGCTGCTGTTGCTTTCTCTTTCATATTAGTGAAAGTTCCCTTGTCTGTCTCTAGCTTTGCAGCTGGATCAGTCTGAGAACAATTCTGTCCCTGTACACTATGCAGATGGAGAAGCAGAATATTTCCTAATCACCAGTTGGTAGTAATGGCAGTGGTTACAAAAGCCTGGAAATAGGCAGGCACTCTGAACTTGTGCCTCTTTTGGCCTAGTTGATCCCTGCAAGAAGTACTGACCCCCCTCAGCAGATGCATATGATGTTGTGGTTGAATATGATATTGGAGGCAGATTGCTTGGGATTGTATCCTTACTCTAGCAGCTGCCAGCTATGTGACCTTGGATTTGTTCCTTAACTTCTCTATGTCCTTATCAGGAAATGGTTCTAATATTAGTATGTATTTAGGTTCCTCCTGGAAACTAATGAGTTTATACTTATGAAATGCTTGGAACTACATAGTACAATATAGATATTGTAAAGTAATTGGGACCCCAGCTAAAATTTCTAGCCCATATCCATCTTTGTATAGAAATTAAGGTATCATGGAAGTAACATGGAATTGTCTCCAAAACAAGGAGTGTATATGGGGACCGGTGGGAAACACATTGGGTTGTTAGACATTGTCATGGAAGGGGATGTTCAAACCTTAACATCAAAAGCAGGAGAAGGTTTTCCCATTGAGCCAGGTTTAATTTTCATTCCCTTAAAATTTCCACAGATTAGCACCTAGTGTAAGAAGAAGAAAAAGAAAGGGGATATAAGTAACTAAGATTCATTTACTTTTCTATCATTCAACAAATATTTAATAGAACTTAGTATGAACCATGCTCAAAATAAAGTCTCTATTCTCACAGAGTAAAGAGATGGAAAACATACAAAATATATAATAAAAGTTATAAGATGTAAATTCATAACTAATGTTTATAAAAACATGAGTAGGTTTACATTTGTACTCATTAGCAGGGTATACTAATGATGGTTCTGTTTAAATAATTTGTCAATTTTGCTTTTTGTTTTTCGTTATTTTAATTTTGGATCAAGTAATACATTAACAATGATAAGTTTAAGCATTATACAGTGAAGCATCAGGAAAAGACACAAAACTTCCTTTTAACCTTTTGCTCATCTGCTCCATCTTACCCCTCCTTCTACCAAATAGCCACCTTTGTTCTTACTTCATTAATGTCCCCTAGAATTTCTTCTTATTCTCATCCCTGCAAACTCTTTTAAGAACTTTCTTRGAATATGTTTGCCAAGGAGATTCTAATAGACTCAATATTTCAAGTAACAAGGAGCTTAGCCAGCGTTTTCCATCTTGAGGCAGCCCTAAGGAAGCTCCTTATCACTTTTAGGAGAAATCTTTCTTTACATAGATTTCTTTACATATTTTTTCATTTAAAAAATATCTTAATGCCTTCACGCTGATCAGTTAATAACAGTTTTTCCTCAACAAGTGGCTATTAAACAAGTGTATATTTTAGAGATTTTTTTTTCCAACTCGCTTCCTGAGGCTTTTATTATTATAACTGTTTTCTAGCCACACCACTCCTTCCCTTATCCCTGGAAGATGCACGAGGACATCACAGAGACTTTGGTTTTTATTCATCCGACTATATCAAGCTGAGCCCCGTCTTTTCAGTGGGGTCAGGTACCGTTTCTGTCTGTCCGTATCCTTCGTAGATATCCAGGCCCGTCCTGTTTCTCCATTGTTCAATCACCTCTGGGTTGATTGGCTCCCCAGCACTCACGCAGTGATTTAAACTTTTGAATTTATAGCTTCTCAGAAAACAGGAAAGCAGTTAGGTTTAGGAGGAGAAAGTGTAAAGAAGTGGAAATTAAGATTATTTCTGATACAAAATAAGCAGATCATAAAATGACACAGAAAATACCAAATTTTCTTTTCCTTTTCTCCTTTATTTTGAGGGTTGGGTTGGGGAGGGCACAACTCTCTTCGAAGAAAAACCAGGGATCCTTAGGGAAAGTAACCCATAATAACATCTTTAATGATCAATTAAAATTTCCCTCACATCTGGAGATGGGAAGTGTTGAGCATTGTGAGTATAGTAAAATGTTTGTTTGTTTGTTTGTTTCAGACTACCAATCTACCCTTTCAAATGGAATCCATAATAGATTTAGAGACATGCATCTTCTTTGCTGTTTGTTGAGACAAGGTTCCAAATAGGAGGAACTTCTCTGCTGTCTCTGCTCAGGTAATAGTCACCATTCAAAAGATTAAATACCTTCTTGCCTATAAACACTGGACTCAGCTCTAAACATGGCTCCACCCTGCTTTTTCTCTCCTTCCTTGGGGGAACCTGCCCTGGACACAGTAATCACCATTCACAGAATGTCAGCAAGAGGGAGGAAGAAAAGAAAGAGTTTGCTAGATCCTGCACCCCTCCTCGAGAGCAATGTTTTTAGGCAGAAAGGTCTTTTATTTTCTAGCTTTTTCCTCCCTCTACTAAGTGCCTGTTTACCAACATTTCTTACCTGCTCATATCATTCTGTATAAGCATTCGGTATGCAGTTGGCACTGAACAGAAGACAGTGATGGGAAAGTTGGAGAGTGTCTGCAATTTAGAAAAAGCAAACTCTTGGCCTACTATAGCTTTGTTATATGCTTAAATATCTAAGGTAGGCACAGCACAATGTAGACATTGCTTATTTTAATGTAAATGCACTTACACCTTTTCTCTATTTTTCAGGCTTATTGACTGTCTAGATGTGAAATATCTTAAATCAGGTCATCTATCTGATCTTGCAAATTACGCTATTCACCAGTCAGTGATAATGCTGATGCATTTCTAACGTGGACCTCCCTCACTCTGCCTTACCTGCAGGATGGAAGTTGACTCGAAACGGGGCAAGTGGTGTACAAATACACATGCTCCTTGGATCCAGGGAGAAAAAACGCTGCTCCATGCAGACTTTGCCCAGCCTGTGTCTGAGGTATTCCACATCACATCCGAGGGTGTCAAATCCAGCCAGAACCTGGGAGAATAATAATCCTGATGTATAAATCTGTTAAATTTTAGAAATTTGACATGTATAAATATATGTATAAATTTTTTAATGGATAAATTTGTTAATTGTGTTAAAATGTTAAATTTGTAGGAAAACACATTTTAAAGGCCAACACATGAATCATCATTTCATTTTTGACACTTCAAGCTGAAGGTCTGTGGAAGTACCTTCCATTTACAGATAATCCTAAACCAAAACTGCTATGGGTGTGTCCAATCATTTTAGGAGGTCCAGTTGTTCCACTGGTAAAGTAAATGGCCATCATCTCATCATGTTTTGTCATCACACAGGTGTGGTTGTCACTGGCATGTCTGCAAAGGAAAGAGTGTAATGATTATGCACAGAAAACACAACGCCATAGACTGTTGCCACTGACAGGGATTTGAGAAGCCATCTCCTCTGATCTATTCATCTTATGAATCAGGCCCCAGTGACTCGGACTGAATCCCAAGGTAAAAGTTACCCCCACCTCCATCTTTTTAGGTGCTTTCTAGAATCAAAATAAACTTTGCTATCAAAAACGTATACATAATAAATGATTTTGTGGCTTCTTACTGTATGATAAAGAAGGATTAAAGTATAAAAACAATTGCTGGGCAGAATAAGAATTCTACCCTCTTAAAATCATGGACTTATGAAGAATTTCCCCTTCCTCTCTACTGTGAATGCTTTAAAATGTGATTTTAAAAAAATATGAGGATGTTGGGCTGCATTTACAGATGGTAGAATACTTCCCAAGCACCACACAACACACACATACACACACACACAGAATTCTAAAAATGATTATGTTAATACAGATCATGAGTAATAACAAGGACTTATAAATTATGGCTGTTCAGTCAAATCTCACCTGCCGCCTATTTTTGTAAATAAAGTTTTATTGGCACAGAGCCATGTCCATTGGTGTATTAGCTTTTGTTGTTTTTACACTGTAATGGCAGAGCATAAGTCTACGCCCACCAAAACCTTAATATGAAGCTCCTTTCTCTTTTGTAGAAAATATTTGCCAACTTCTGAAAGGATAGTTTTTCTGTTTCCCCACAAGATTCTGCACAGTTCTGGGTATAATCAAGAATAAGACTGAAGAGGATACAGTCCTCTATCCAGGGAAGGAAGGACTCTGGTGAAAGAGGAAGAAGATCTTTTAGTTCTAAATAATTTGTGAATTAGGGCAGCCAAGAGGARGCAAACTCTGCCTGCGTACACATCAGGTATCTAAGAAATTTACAGATTTATCTGTGAATACTAGGTTCAGAATGAGAGGAAAGAAACATCCAGGCCATAAGAAATATAGAAAAGCTGGTTTCAAACCCAGTCTATGAGTCCAGAATTGTCTTCCTTGAAAATAATACCCATGGTCATGTGCCTATCATCTCCATCACAGGTACAGTTGTCCTCAAAATCTAAGACTGGCTTATTGTGCTGATCTCTTACTACAAGAGATTGTAAATATAGTGGTTAGGAGTGGGGCTCAGAAGCCAGCTGGCTATAAAACTCAGCTCTGCCAAACACTACCATCTGACCTTATTCATCTGTATACTTATAGTACCTATCCTCTGGTCATTGTAAGATTTAAGTGACTTAATATATCTGAAACAGCTTCTGAAACACAAAACAGTTCCATATAAATGTTAGCTATCATTGCCATTTTAATACTATTTTTGTTAGAATATTACTTGGTCTTAGATAAGAACTTAGAGTTGGCTATCATAAAGGAGGTAGGAACAAGTCCACAGTTGCAAGCATGCTCCCAAATTCTTGCAAAAATGTAGGAAGCTCATTATAGAAAAGGAAATCTCTGCCTGCCTAATGCTGAGATATGGCCACTACCTGGCAAAGTTCCACTGATTCCTAGAAGCACCCTAGGGAAGGACTTGAACATCAGTGTAACTTCATTTTATAATTGCACCCATTAACATCAAATGCTGTTTTATTAATTATAACCCAACAGAAGTGGTGCTATCAGCAGGGGATGTTAGAGCCTACACAGAGGACCAATTATTATCCATTTTCCTGGAAGATGGTAACAGCTCTGTGGTTGGCACGATGATGTACCTGCTGGAACCCTCTACAGGATGAAGGACTTACTCTCCCCAGGAGCTGGGAGCCCTCTTTAGAGATTGCCTTGAATGAAGAGAGCTCTCTCTAGGGACAGTCACCATCCAATAACTGATAGATGTGGGTGTATAAGGCCGGGACCTCTTGCTTTAGCTGCAAACAGTTTTGAGGTGCCAGTGGGTTGGCCAAGAGTTATTACAGGGAATATATCATGCTTCATTTCTTCCTTTGCCCAATCCCACATCCTTCCCTTTCTTTCATAGTTGTTGATTCCCCAAAAAACACCTTAATAAACATCTTATACAATGTTTTTCATCTCCTTGACTTCTTCCTGGGCATCGCAACCTAAAAAAAAAAAAACACTGCAAGCCCCTCCCTGCATCAGAGCTTAGCACTATTAATGCAATAATAATTAGGAATTGTTTTCTTTGCCTGTTGCTTTAATTAGCATTTGTTTGATCACTACTAGGTTGAATATCTTTTTGTTATTGCCTTTGTTTCTGTGTTCTACAAGAAAGGCCACTCACTTCATCATCTCCTTGAGGTTCCCCCAACCCTCTCTGGAGTTCTGAGACACAAGTAGCTTGAAGTGGAGATTTTCACATGTAGGTGCAACAGCATCCACTGCTGGGGCCAGTGAGTCATCAGTAATAATGCACTTTGCTTTTGAAGTCTGTAGTCTGTAGAGGAGGTCTTTCTGGGTCAGCTGAGTAGTTCCTGGGATAAGAACTGTCCCTAAAGAAGCAATGTTTAGAAGAAAGTTTATTCTCATTATGGATTAGTTAGTCAGTTACCACGTAAGATATCTATTTGTCTTTCATTATTCTGCTTTTACCCTTCAAGTAAAAGGGTACTTAAAAGTCTCTAAACCTTTTTTTTTTAATACCTTTATTTCACTTATTTTTATGTGGTGCTGAGGATCGAACCCAGGGTCTTGCATGTGTGAGGCGAGCATTCTACCACTGAGCCCCAATCCCAGCCCTCTAAACCTTTCTAAGCCCTAACGTGAGAGGAGAGTAAATGCTGGATAATTATCCTACATTTGAAGATCATTCATAACATAGAGCTTACAGAGGGTTATGATTGAAAAGTAATATTTCCCAATATTTATTGAATACTTGAGTTGTAAGTGCCCAGTTTCTACATCTATAAAATGGGGATTATAATAATACTGTTACTGGCAGTGTTGCCTCTCTTGAAGAGAAAGTGAGCAAATAAATAAATGCTTATTTTAAAGCCAGAGAAACCACATACATCATAAAAATGTCCTAAATATTGCAACTGAGTGCCAGTTTTTATGAAAAATATTATTCAAAGTAAGGAATAAGCTTACTGAGAATTAATACTTTTTAATAACATATTAATGTAATTATATGCTAATATAATTATACACTAATTAATTATACACTAATATAATTACTTTAATAATTATATACTAAGATTTTTATTGTAATGACATTTGATAATACATAAAAAGAGTATTTGAAAGTTAAAGTGTGATGAGTTTGTTGCTGGCACTGAGGGTAATAGAATGATCTAAGAACTTAGAAATAAAGGAAATAGATTGTCTCCCAAAGCTAAACTATGTACTCAACTTAATCAGAACAGAGACATGCAGACAGACAATAATTCACAAAGTAGCAAGACTAAACCGTATCCTAATATATGATATATTAACATAGAATTGGTCTCAGAAATGGGTATTGCTGCTACAGAAAATAAAGGAAATTCACAAGAGCAAACTGATGAGTTGATATGGTTTGGATATGACTGGTTCCCCCAAAAACTCCTGTGTTAATGCAGGAATGTTCAGAGGTGAAATGATTGGATTATGAGAGCTGTAACCTAATTAATTAGTCTACCTAGACTGAAGAGTGGTACTCTTAGGCAGGTGAGTTGTGGCTGGAGGAGGTGGGCCCTTGGGGTGGTGTACCCTGAAAGGATCATCTTCCCTGTGGCCCTTGCCCTGCTCTTCCTGCGCTGGCCATCATGAGATGAACAGAACTTCTCTATATTGGCATCAGATCAATATTGGCATCAGATTGGCCATTTTAGGCTGGGAGCCAGTTTATCTAGAGGCTCCAAAGTTCCCATTCTGAGGGAACTCAGAACTGTGCCTGATTAAAGATCAACCCCACCCCAGCTTATGACACAACTCCTAAGCAGCTTACGACATTTCTCTTGCAGGCTAAAAAGCTGCTCTGTGAGTGCCGACACAATGCTGCTCTCCGTAGAGGGACAGCCTTGTCCGTTTGCCTCATGCTACTGACAATGAATCTTTTGCATGAGATTCTGGTGTGTGGCATGGTCTTTGGACTTTGCTTGGACTCTGCAAGTGTCCTTTTACTCCACCATTCCCTTCCGCCATAATGCTCTGTTTACCCTGGGCCCAGAGCAATGGACTCAGCTGAACATGGAACTAAACCTCTGAAACCATAAGCAAAAATAAACTTTCCCTCCTCTAGATGTTTTTGTCACAGCAACACAAAAGTAACCCATGGGTACATCCAAACCTGTCTAGGAAAGAAATCTCTGTTAGGGAATTTCACTTTATTGTCCCTTGAATGATGTGGCTGCTAATCAATATCTACATTCACACTGGCCTATTTTCATTTTCTCTAACCTACAAGTTATTTCCTGCCTCAGGGACTTTGTACAAGCTTCTCCATTTGACTTTGTTTCCCATCACCCACACCTTCTCGGGTCTCAGCTTAATATCCCCCTGGCTTCCTCTCCATTTATGTCAAGTACCCTGACAGCAGTGACTCTTGCACCAATTCCTTTGTATCATTTATCACATTTACCACACTAAATGTTCATTTTCCTCATGACTGTCTTATCCCTGGACTCTTAAGCCCACCGCTCCTAAAACAGCAAGTACCCAGCAACCTGTTGGATGGAGTGACGTGTGAGTATTAGAAGGATGGGTCAAACTTCCAAATCCTGGTACAAATAAATTGAATTGTGAATATCACTTGTTCTGAACCGCAAACTGCCAAACTTTAAACTTTGTCTTCTCATGTAGGTCTGTTAAGCTAGGAGAAAGGGGCTACTCATGCCAGAGTGTTTTTACCTTTCATGCAAATGAAAATGTTGGTAATATCATTTTACTCATTCTATTCCATAAGCATAATACTAAGAGCCACCTGCCCCTCTGCCCTGAAATGCAGAGCTCCACTGTCAGATGCATTGACATCAAGAGGCTTCTGATCTACTAAGTGAATGGCCACAACTGATGAATTCACAAAGTTCTTGTCATCCTGAGACTCCAGGAAGAGAGCAGCTCAGTGGGTTGGGATATCAGGGTGTGTTGTCTGAGAAGGTTAACATTAAGCTGAGACTTGAAAGTCGATAAGAATTGTCCATGTGATTAAGTGTGTTGGTAAGTAGAAAAGCCAGGAGATGGCTTTTCTGCATAATCATGGAGTATAATGGTGTTACAGCAATAAAGAAAAAATGCTAGTCTTTCATGGTGCATCTAAAGAACTTCAGAGGTTATCTAGTAGGCAATGGAAAAGTATTAAATAATATCAAACAGCAAAATGATTGCATAAATTGTGTTCTAGGGAAAAGACTGGAATTGGATTGGAGTAGATGTATGGGCACACACTTAAGAGCAGAATTAGAAAGAATTTGGGGAGAATCCATTTGGGAGATGGTAAAGATGTGAACTAAAGCAATGGCAATGAATAATATCTGGAGGCAGGTAGGCAGTCAGATTTATAAGGCGTAGTAATTTATTAGGAATGAAGAGTTGGTGGTTGCCTTAGGGGAACAGCTGGTGATAATTAACCAGGGCAGAAACAAAAGCATGAAAAATTGGGTTCTTTTACTATGTAAATATACTGAGTTTCAGATGTGTGGTTCCTATAGAAGGAGAGGGAAAGTAGGTATGAAGCTTTAATTGCTTTATAAATCTATTTCACTTTAAAAATCTATTTCACTAACCTAACTTCTCATGTAGGTCAAAAGACAGCATGTTTCCAACACATTTCTATGGGTCCTGAGAATAATACTACATTGTCCAGGGTTCTTCTTCAAATAATATATCCAAATAAGTATCTCATGATTAAAAAAAAAATCTCCTCTGGCGTAGTTTAAATACAATTGGATTGCAAACATTACTAACCTGTTCGCAAACAGGCCACATTTGCAAGCCACCACTCTGGGATCTTAGGCAGAATCACAATTACTCTATCTCCCTTTTCCAGGGAACAGGTTTCTGTAAGTATATTGGCAAATTTCCTGGACAAAGATCCCAGTTCCTCAAAACTCCACCTCACTTCGTCTCCATTTTCATCTATCCACCAGAAGGCTGGATTGGAAGGCCTCTGTCCAGCCTAAGGAAAGACAAACCAGTCATGGATTTAGAAGTTGTTAGACAGTTAAATTCTATTTCAAGGAACCAATGGAATACATCCTCTGAATATATTCGTTAGGACTTACACTGAGTCTTTGGAAATAACTTTGGGGTCCTTATTTCTAGGGAGTGATGTCATTTCTTATTCAGTGCGATTGCTTCTCTTCCAAAAAGGAATATTACATTCCTTCATATTTCTCTGACTACTGTATCTATGCCTCATTTACTACCATTTCTGACTCTTTAAGAGTCACTTTTTATTTTTTTAGTTGTTTGTTTTTATATGTTTTACAAAATTTTTACTCTATTTCTTTTTTTATTGTTTGTTCAAAACATTACAAAGCTCTTGACATATCATATTTCATACATTAGAATCAAGTGGGTTATGAACTCCCATTTTTTTAGTTGTTGATAGACTGTTTATTTTATTCATTTATTTACATGCAGTACTGAAAATCGAACCCAATGCCTCACACATGCTAGGCAAGCGCTCTACCACTGAGCCACAACCCCAGCCCTAGAGTCACTTTTCACTATACTTTTTTAAAAAATATTTTGTTTTAGTTGTAGTTGGACACAATACCTTTATTTATTTATTTTTATGTGGTGCTGAGGATCGAACCCAGTGCCCCACACGTGCTAGGCAAGCGCTCTACCACTAAGCCACAACCTCAGCCTTCAGTATACTTTTTGTTTTTTTAAAAAAACAACCTGATTACTGACATCATGGGCCAGATAATTATTTATCCTTTAAATAATTATGCTGTAATTATTTATTCTGTAAAGAACTGTCCTTTATATTAGTTTTTTTTTTCCTAAGCAGCATCCCTCACCTCTATCCATTAAATGATAGTAGCAGCCTCCCTTACCCCCCAGTCCCCCTCCTCCACCCTCATTTTCCCAGGACAACAAAAATGTCTCCAGACATTGCTAAATGTCCACAGGGGGCAAAATTGCTCAGAAACTGTCATCTGACTGGCCCCTTTCTCCATACCATCTCCATATTGGTCCACTGGTCCAGGACATCTTTAGCAAAGTTGAAATACTCTGGAACCTCCAATTTGAAGTCCTGTTTCATGGACTCATAGTTGGAGAAATTCTGAGGGGTTGCTGTTCTGTGCTCTCTATGCAAATCTCTCACAAAACCAGAAATTGTGAGGCGCTGAAAACACTTGGCACGGAGTAGTAGCGACATGGCGAAAAGCACTAGCTAGCGTCAATTTTCTTGGATGTTTTAGCACTCAAGATTTCCATGGAGACTAATTAATCTAAAAGACAAACAAAAAGGTCATACATTTATTTCTGTTCCAAGGGTAGCCATACCCCAAAGCAGCTAAGTTTTATTATTATCAACTAGTACCACCACCACCACTACCACCACCACCATCATTGAATCATTTTCTGAATACTCCCTATATTCTAAAAACTGTGCTCAGTATTTTACATTAACACTGTGAAGTGGGTACTGTTACCATCAGTGTTTATTGATAGTGAAAATTACTAGCAAGAGAACTTGAGCTGGATTTAAACCCAGAACGATCAGGTCTCAGCCCATTCTAATGTACTATTGCTTCCCACATGTACTTCTAAAGAAATAAAGATCTGGAACACCCAGGTAATCTTGTTGTTTGCAAAATGATAAAGCTTTCTTGTCTTTTATCTGCAGATTTCAAAGGAGTACAAAAAGTTAAGGAGAGTTTTTCACAATGGATAATCTACAGATGAAGAGTAGCCCACTACCAATTAGTCATGAAAGTAGTTTATAATCTGTCTAGTTTATAGGCTGCAGTTCCCATGCTCTCAGTAAGAGCCCACTCGACCGTCGAGTCCTAGAAGCTGCATTTGTTGGAGATGTAATAATAGGGCTTTAACCTTTAGGGATTTTTGTGGGAGAGGCCATTGAGCACCCCTAGCCCTCCCTTCTTCTGTGAGAAATAATTTGATCACAATGTCATTTATTTGTTGAGGCTGTTAAAGATACTTCTCTAGGGATTATGAATATTTGGGGCTCTCCTCTTTATACTTTGTGTAATTTTCTAAATTTTACTTTTTTGTAAGTTACTTTTTTTGTAAATGTGTTACTTTCATAATCATTAAATCATAACTTTAACTGCAATTCTAGCTTTTTGGTACATAAGGCAGTCTGGCTATTGGAAGCATTTCTGTATTGATAAACTGCCCAAACAGTACATAATAACAGATATCAGCTTAGTTTTTTCCTAAATCGGAAGCCTGGATACTTCTTCTGACCTTCTCACTTCTTTGTGTGAGGACCTGATAAGTCAGTTTTTTTAGTCCTCTGAGATCATCTGGTTTGAGCTTCATTTTTCACTTGCAAAGACATCTGGAACTCCAGAAAGGAGAGGCAACTGGCTTCAACCTATCATATTAGAGTTAGAACCAAAACTCTCTTGTTTTGAATTCCCATTTGAATGTTTTTACTTCAGTCCAGTATTATTTCATAAAGCAGTGATTCTCAATTTTGGCCATATATTTGAACCATTAGAAAAGCTTTTTTTTTTAAACCTGATGACTAAGTCTTGGACCAATTAAATCAGCATCTTTGGGAGTGGACCCTGAGTCCATATTTTTAGAAATTCCTTAGAGGTTTCTAATGCAAGGCCAAGGGTTAAGAATCATTCATCTAAAGGCTACAGTCTGTGAACCAGTAGCATCAGCATCACCTAGAAGCTTGTTAGAAACACATAATCTCAGGCCCCAGACCCACTGAATTAATGGAGTTAACCTTTGAACAGGATTCCCAGGGGGTTAGTGTGTACCTTCAAGCATAAAAAGCACTGGATCATACCACATTGGCTAAATACATTAGCTATTGAACCATACAGTCATGTGATAGGGTCCCAGTTTAGTCACTTATGAACTGTGACCTTAATTGGATTATTAACCACTTTGAATCTCAGTTTGACATTTTACCAGTGGAGAGACAAATAGAACCTCTGTCAGAGAGTTGCTCCAAAGACTGAATATAATAATGCTCACAAAAATGTTTACCATAGTGCCTGCCATATTACTCTCTACTATTCTACTAGAACAGGGGTTGGCAAACTTTTTCTATAAAGAGATAAACAATAAACATTCTGTTCAGGTCTTTGCAAACCATATCTGATCTCTGTTGCAACTATTCAATTCTATTGTAGCCATTGATAATACATTACTAATGGGTGTGGATGGGTTTTCCAAAAAATCTTATTTATGGATATGAAAACTTGAATTTTATGGAGTTTTATGGGTCATGAATTACTGTTACTCTTTAAAAATTTTTTCAATCATTTAAAAATGGGAAAACCATTCTCAGTATGCAGGCTGTGCAAAAACAGGCAGAGGCTGGATTTATCCCATGGGCTGCAGTTTGCTGGTTATAGTAGAATATAAATTTTATGAGGGAGGAGCCTTCCTTGTCTGTTACATCCCTGCTATTATCCTTGACAATTATAATAGAATTTGGCATAGAGTCAGTGCTTAAGAAACATGTTGAATTAATAAGAACTGTTTTTAGAAGTGAGAATTTTTGGATGTAGTTAACTTCAACAACTCAGGATTACAGTAGACCTAAGAAGGGCCTCTGCTACTTAACCAGAGTTATGTGACTACCTGCACTGTCCACATGTAACTGATTAAGTTAATTTAAATAAAATTTAAAAATCAGTTCTTTACTCACTTTGGCTATATTTCCAGTGCTTAATGGCCACACKTGGCTAGTGGCTATGATATATGGGTCAGTGCAGACATAAAAAATTTCTATTATTGCAGGGAATTCTTCTGGATAGTATTAATAGTGTTGATAATAGCTCAGAACTGGACTGATATAGAACATTAAAATATAGGAAAATCAAAGGATAGATTTCCTGAGATAAATTTCTCTAAGGGTCCAGGTTTAGTAAGTGTTACCCATCTCTATTCTCTTGCCTAAAGGGTGTAGGAGGAAAAACATTAACAGAAATGTCAGGCTCTAAAGAGAAAAAACTGTTCTTTGGTACAGATATAGAATCACTCTGAGGCCTAGTTTCCTTGGAGATTAAGTTCTTAAGTCCTCAAATGTCATTTGGCTTGGCATTGGGGACTGGGTAGAGAAAGAACTACTCGTCTTTGCTCTTTGTTGGCAAAATGCTACTTGCCATTTTGGCTGCTGTCTGTCCTAACAGAATTAGCAATAGGTTTCTTTCCACAGAAGGAAAGAGTCAACACTAAGTGTTTAGATGTAATTTGTCTCTGTTCTTAATTTATTGCATAATGACTTCAAGTGATTCAAAAAAATACCAAAGGTACATTGTCTAGGTTTTTTAGCCTCCCGTTTCCTCCTGCCCTGTGGGAGAGATGGGGAAAGCCCTCCCTCGAAGGAGGACAATCAGATGCGCCAGGGAGAACAGTCAAAGCAGTATCTCGTTAATGAGAAAACATACACAGCTAATATAATGTACAGGAGCCAATCAGGATAAAGGTCAGCAGGGTGGGGAGAATTTATATCTACACCCATCCTACAGGCAGTAAGGGTTCTGAGCCTATCCTAGAGGTGGTCCGATTCTTCATTACAACCCAGGGCAATGCCTTCTGGCTAATGGCTAGGTGCTTTCTTATCCGCGTGTGGCCCCAGGACTGGGAAGCGGGTGCAGCCAGCAAGTTAAGTTTCCTCTTTTCTGATGCAACATGTCCCACATTACATCATGCCCTCCATCTCCCCCATTTTGTTTTATTAGCAGGTGTTTGCCTTACTCGAGAGTGTGCCTGTCTTAGGTCGTCCCCCTCTGGGGATCTTACCCGTCATTGACTACCACTCTGGCTCTTCAGGCAGTTCACCTGCAGGGTCGGCAGACCCAATGGGAAGCTTTAAGAAAGGGAGATGGCTATCGCCTATGAAGGAAACCTTTCTGCTCCTGGCTTACACCTGCATGTCCTGGTAGGGGCSGTGGCCAACCTCATAGAGTTCCCAGTCGGTAACTTGTAAGACAGCATGTTGCTGCCGGACCACCATCAGTTGAACAGCTCTGGCTTGATAAGGGAGCCACCTATTTAGCCCAGTCCATAGAAAGCTAGATTGCAATTCGTTCTACAGTTTTTAAGGTCTTCTTGTATTCTCTTGATCTTGTCTTGGATGAAACCAGAGTGATTGGCATAGAAGCAGCATAACATCAAATTTGGACTTACAATCCCTTTGCCAATGAAATCCCTTTCTACACCGGGGGCAGGGCATCTTAGATGGAGTTTGACCTTTAGTTTTGTAAAGGTAAAATTTCTAAGCTGATTCTAAGCTGCAAAAGCTTGAGTTAAAGTGTAAAAGATTGGGCATTGTAAGGTCTCTAAATGGCAAGGCCTGGGCTAAAAAGTAAAGACTAGGTATTGTTACAATTCCTCTGCTACCCCCGGAACCTGTAATCTCTGTAAAGTTGTTAGGACAATGCTGGAACTGCCTAGTAAATATCTCCATTGATTCCCTGGCTGTTTAATAGCTAAGGGCTCCAGGTAACATGGCACGTAAGCATCTAGGCCCCAGAACCAATCAGTTTAAATGTGTACCCCGTTTAGAAATGACCAATCACTCCTGCCCAGATTGTTCCCACCAATGTATGTACTAATCATGTTTCAGAATCGTTGTTCAATTTTCCCGCGCCTCATGATGATTTGTTCTGATGTATGCAAAGCCCACCGCCCTCTCCAAAAAGTGTACTTAAGCTCCTCTTGACCTCTGCTCTGGGCTCAGGGCTGCTCTCCCTTCTTGAGTGAGCACAGAGCCCCAGCGCGCTGGAACGGATCCCCCAATAAATTTCCCCCCTGCGATTGCATGAAGTGAGTCTCTTGTGTGGTCTCTCCCTCCGACGCTCCGCTGTACCCCAACAGTTTGGCCTGAGGGACGTCCCTGCGGGGCACCAGGTCTTATTGGGCCTGTAGGGCACTCTCTCTTGAAGTGGCCCTGTTGACCACACCCATAACAAACCCCTCTCCTGTTGCCACTGGAAGAGGTGAGGGCAGTAGTAAGGGCCTCAGCAAGTGAAGCCGTTTGGGCCTGCAAGGCCGCAACCAACGACTGTGATTGGTGGGCCTGAGGACCGACATCCTTAGGCGGCCACTATCCACCTCCCCATAGATCAGTCCTTCATCTCCGCACAGGCTAGTTTGTGGTCTGTGGTCATCCCCTCCCAGACCAGCATCTTGACAAACTGGTCCCGAAGAGGCCCTGGGGGGACTTTCCTTTGGAGGCTCTTTTCCACCCTCTCAATGAAGGTGGCAAGATCCTCGGTAGCCCTCTGAGTAATTCCTGCTACTGGGGGCTCTGAGGAGCCTTCCTCCAACTTTTTCCATGCTGCCAGCCCCAAGCCCATACCTGCTCCTGGTAGGGGGCAAGGATAGCAGCCTGCTGAAGGCCTGTGGAAAATTGATCACTGGACCCCAACAGCATCCCATAAGTTACAGGAACCGGGGGATTAACAGCCTGATTCCTCTCAGCCTGAGCGTGGCACTMCTCATTAAATAAAGCACACCATTTCAGGTACTGGGGACCAGGAAGCACAGCCTTGGTTAAGTTTTTCCAGTCTTGGGTGGTACACAGTTGGTGGGCCAGACCCTGGAGGATGGTTTCGGCCCAGGGCGAATTAGGTCCATCCTCATCCTCGGAGATGGCCTTTTTGAGTTATTTCAAGTCCTGGGCCTCCCAGGAATACCATAAGGCCGGTCTGTTGCCCCCAGGGTTAACATTTACCGGGAAAGCCATAAACGATGGGGATGAGTGTGACAGAGGTGGCTCCCTATCCCGACTGCCCACCATGTGTTCCAGGACAGGAGCACTTGGTGCGGAACCCAGAGGACCACGCCGGGGATCAAAAAGGTCTAGGAGGCCATTTTCAGAGTGAGGCTTTAAGCCTCTCTCCTCCTGGACAGCGAGAGGACTGACTCGCTGTGACCCAAGTCTGTCCTCAACAAGGATTTCCCAATTTGAGTCGTTATACTTAGTGCAAGATTGCCCCATCTTTCCAGGGATACCCTTACCTCGGAAAAGTCGCTTGGCTTGGCTCCATACTCTCACTCTTGGTGAACTGAGTTCTTCGTGCCCCACGTAGGGCGCCAGATGTTGGGGTTTTTTAGCCTCTCGTTTCCTCCTGACCTGTGGGAGAGATGGAGAAAGCACACCCCGACCAGGAGGAGCTGAGAAAGGTAAAGGTAGACTGGCCGCCCACACCCAGCCCTCCCTTGCTGGAGGACAATCAGACAGGCCAGAGAGAACAGTCAAAGCAGGATCTCGTTTAATGAGAAAAACCTACACAGCTAATATAATGTACAGGAACCAATCAGGGTAAAGGTCAGTAGGGTAGGGAGAATTTACATCTACACCCATCCTACAGGCAGTAAGGGTTCTGAGCCTATCCTAGAGGTGGTCCGATTCTTCATCACAACCCAGGGCAATGCCTTCTGGCTAATGGCTAGGTGCTCTCTTAGCCACGTGTGGCCCCAGGACTGGGAAGTGGGTGCAGCCAGCAAGTTAAGTTTCCTCTCTTCTGATGCAACATGCCCCACGTTACATCATGCCCTACAGTACATGGTGAAAAATCTTGAGTCTTGAGTCTTCCCAGTTCCATCCCACTCTTACCTCTCAAGGAATTTCGGTTATTCTTTCTATGCATCTTTCAGGTTTCTTTCTGTGCATTTGACTATAGATTATTTTTTTCCCACCACTTTACACATCAGAGAGCCTAGATACACACTGTTCTGACCACTGAAAACATTTTTTAAAATGTGTTTCTAGAGACCTCTTCATATCAGTATATGATGCTCTTCTTTGCATTTGTTTAAAATAGCTACATTAAATTCTAATGAACGGCTACACCATAATTTCTTTCTTTTTTTCATTTGTTCTTTTTAGTTATACATGACCGTACCCATAACTTCTTTAACCCACATTCCTATCAATAATCACTTGAGTTGTCTGTATTATTTTACAGTTTGTATGAAAATTTGAAACTATTTCCTTCAAAAGAAATATCCTGATTCTTTGTCTCATTACTTGGATGTAAAAACAAATAGTATTTAAATATAGTTAAGATGTACAATAAAATGATTTCTGATCCTCTTAAAATAAAAAGGCAGGAATTTAGACTGGTTAGAACTGGGGCATTGCACTTCCTTCTTGGTAGTTTAGTATGTTTCATTTATTATTCAGCAGATACTGAGTACCTACTATGAAAACATTTTGCAGACATAAGGGTGAATGAAAGACTCTTTTCTGTTGGGAAGAAACAAATAAGTGTGCTGTACAAAAAGAAACAGTAACAGGAGAAAAGGGAGCCTTTTTTAGGAGGTCTCTCTGGGGAATGACATTTTTGCTGAGATCTGTCGGGTGGCTTCACTGTGCTGAACATTTTGCATTGATTTGTCATTTCCATTTTACAAACAAGAACATAAAGACAAGTGCATGCATATCCAAATTGAATAACACCCTCATTCATTCACTAGATACTTCCTAAGCATTTACATGCCAGGTATATAATACATGCTGAAAATACAGATGCAAGCAAAATATAACTAGTCTTGCCCCCATGAAGCTTACAGACTATTAAACAAGTATGCACATATTGTAATTAGGGATAAATACACTGTAGTCAGCTTGCTGATACTAAGTAGAATCAGTAGTCAGTATGATTTCTTCCCTATCCCTGATACAAAACCCCGATACACAACATCCATAATCCTTCAAACATACATTAAAAAGAAACTTGAACAGCCATTTGGCGCTTAAAATGAACCTAACCATTTTATTCTACCAGAAAGACAATATACAACATCCTTCTCACCAAAACCATAATATTGCCTTCTCCCCATAAAAGCTCAGTTCCTACCTTTTTAATGATCTTAACATTTGTAAAATTCCTTGTAGATGAAAGAACTGAGATAACTTTTCTCGGATGAGTCCAGAGTTTTACACCAAGTCAACCGAAATATTGCCAGAGAAAATTCTTCTAAGCAAGATAGCACCACTGGCCGGTCAGATGGGCTTTTAAAAGTATTTAAGGTCTCCTCTGAAATGCATTATGTCCATATAATCATAGATGCCAACAGGGCTTCCCTACATCTCCATAAACACTCCTACCCATAACTTACCCAAATAATAACAGTGTTTTGTTGTTTATGGCCCAGACCCTTCTTCCTGCCCCCAATAAGATCTTGCCTGAAACCTCTCCCATATACAACTTTTGCCGCTTCCCTCAATTGACCACCTAATGGAGAATAGCAGCTGCCCCCAAATTCTTAGATTTTGCATTTGTATGTTTCTCAAAGTTTCCTAGAACTTGCTTGCATGCTTTCTGGAAGACATAGAAGATGTATTTCCATCTGCTACTGAGCAGGGTGGGAGCTAAGTGAACAACACATTGAAAAACTCAGCTAGCTGCTCTTCAGTCTCAAAATTTGTTTGAAAACATTTTACCTAGTAAATGCATGAACACGCTTTAAAAAGATCAAAAAGCACCAGAAGTCTTGACATGAAAACTCAGCTGCTGTACTTACAGCCTTTTCTGTGTGCATACTCCTCATCACTTACTGAATGGAGTTTCACACACCAACTGAGAAATTCTGAGAGAGATACCTTGGCTGCCCCTGACTTCAGTGACAGCATATCTTTGGATCAGTTGATTTTGCTTCTTTATAATTTATTATCTTTGCTCAAAAAAAAAAAAAGTCTGTATCAGCACAGCAAATCAGGTACTCACTAAAATTATGGCTTCTGACACAGCTGGAGGTGGTGGTAGACGTATTTCCTGGAAGAGCAGTCCTGAAATTTGATTTCCCACCTTTGCTTTAGTCTTGTTAGTGGCCAAAGAGGAGAGAAGTGGTGTGACAATCGCAAGTAGTGAAAGTACCCAGAATGGTTTCTTTTCTTGATTGGTAGAACATCTTTGGAGGGAGGAGCAGGAACTCAGGGCTAAATTTACACTGAAAGTTTATGCAATCCTTGGCTGTCCTGCTTACAGGTAATGATTACATTCATTGGCAGGCTTCTAGCAGGCTGGGAAAGCAATTTATTCACAAGCAGGACAGTGCCCCAGAAGATGCTGGAAGAGTTAGTCTTGTGAAGGGACAGAGGAAGCTCTCAGAAGGAGGAAATAACAAATGGAAGAATATGTAGAGATATTTGAAATGCGGGGGGCGGGGGAAGGAAAGGTAAGGAAAAGAAGTTGAGGAGTGGGTATGAGTTAACCTAGGTCTCAGCAAACCAGTTGCTTTGTATATCTGTTGAACTGGTCAGGACTAAACATAAACACTCAGGTCACTCTTACTTGAATCCTCCGGTACTTCTCAGTTCACTGTAAGTAAAATCCTCATGTCGACAAGAAGTTGTATGGTAGGGCACAGGGTCCTCTCTGCCCACAGCCTGTTCTTGTTCCTCTGTGTCACTGTACTTCAGCCATATCAGCACCCTGCCTTTTCTCAAACCAACCATGCACGTGCCAGCCTTGGGCTTTTTTGGACCCCCTCTGCCTATAACTCTTCCCTGAGACACCCCCTTGGCCAAATTCCTCATTTGGTGAGGTATCTCGTCCAAGAGCTCTGCCTCAACACATTTTCTAAAAGTAGAAATCTTCATTTCTTTCCCTCTCTTTAACCTGATTTAACTTTTTACATCTCTTCTCACCACCTTTGAAAGTAAGAATTTTGTTTTATTTGCCGATGTATCCTTATTGCCTAGAATAGACATGGGCAAATTTTATAAACTTACAGTAAATATTTGATGGATATGTGAATATATTTCTTTCAATAACATGATAAAAACCCAACTCAAATTCTCTTAAACAAAGAGAGGAGTTTATAGGTCATTTTAAAAAAAATTCTTAGTTGTAGTTGGACACAATAACTTTATTTATTTAATTTTATGTGGTGCTGCGGATCAAACCCAGGGCCTCACACAAGTGAGGCAAGTGCTCTACCACTGAACTATAACCCCAGCCCTCGTTTTTTTTGTTCTATGAGTTTTTTGTTGTTGATATTCCCTTGGATTTTCTTTGTCTACATTATCTGCAAATAAAGACAACTTTACTTCTTCCTTTGAGATCTATGCAGCTTTTATGTTCTTTTATAACCTTATTGCATTGGCTAGCACCAGCACTATGTTGAATAAGATTGATGAGAGAAGAAATACTTGCCTTTTTTCCTTATATTAAAATCAGGCCTTCACAGTTAGGTTCAAAGTTATCTCAAGGTTTTTCTACAGATGTTCTTTATTGAGTTTAGGAAGTTCTCTATTCTGACTTTTCTGAACTTATCATGTATAGATATCAGATTTTGGCAATTCTTCTGCATCAATTAATGTAATCATGTGATTTTTTTTGTTCTTTATCTTATTAATAAGGTGAATTACATTCATTGATTTTCTACTATTGAACCAGCTTTGCTTCCTTGGAATAAACTCCACTTATTGTTGGTATATGATTCTTTTTATATATTGTTGAATTCTGTAATTTTTGTCTCTTCCCAAATTTGAAATGTTTTCAGCCACTATTTCTTAGAGTAATTTTTCTGCCCCCTCATAGATCTTTTGTGATAATCCCACAGGTCCCTGAGGCTCCTTCCCAAACCCCATTTTAGTTTCATTCTCTTGTTCAGGTTGGGCAATTTCTATCTTCCAGTTCACTGAATTTTTTCTCATGTTTCTTCATTCTAATGTGATCCCACACCACTCAACACAATAGGGTTACTCCCCCCTAAACCCCCAGTCACCAAGCAACTCACTAGCAGAAGATACCAGCCGAGAGTCCCATACTCCAATTTAATTCTACATTAACTACCTGAAGATAGTGGCAGATCCCACAGATTAGGGCTCAGGCCCAGAAGATTGCCTCCTATTTCAGATGCCAGGTGCAAGTCTCAAGCTTAACCTTTATTACTGACTGTAACCTATATTAAACTGGGGTTCCTCTGATTCCTTTCTTGGGTATAATTAATTTGCTAGAATGGTTCACAGAACAATAGGAAACCCTTGACTTACATGTATTCATTTGTTATAAASGATGGAAATGAACAGCCAGATGAAACAGATGGGAGAAGGGGTACAGTGCTTTTTAGGTTTCGTGCTTCCAGAAATTCCTCATGTCCAGGTCTCTGGAAGCTCCCCAAATCCTGTCCTTTTGGGGTTTTATGGAAGTTTTATTACACAGGCATGATTGACTAAATCATTGGCCATTGGTGATAAACTCAACCCTCAGCAACTCTCTCCTCCCAGGAGGTGGAAATATGGGATGGGATGGGATGGGAGGGATGGTACCATTRATTTTCCTGGCAAACAGCCCAAGTTCTATAGCTATCCAGAAGCCCTGAGTTACCAGACATCACCAGACATCTCACTAGCATACAAAAATGCAGTTCCCACATAAGAGATCCCGAAGGTTTAGGAGTTGTGTGCCAGGAAACAGGGATGAAGACCAAATGTATATTTTACAACATCACATTTATCCACTGAATTTTAACAATTTCTTTTATTGAATTTTTGGTTCTAAAATTTATATGCAGTTCATCTTTTTTTTTTTAAAGAGAGAGTGAGAGAGGGAGAGAGAGAGAGAGAGAGAGAGAAGTTTAATATTTTATTTTTTAGTTATCGGCAGACACAACATCTTTGTTGGTATGTGGTGCTGAGGATCGAACCTGGGCCGCACGCATGCCAGGCGAGCRCGCTACCACTTGAGCCACATCCCCAGCCCAGTTCATCTTGATTATATTCTATTTCTTTGCTGAGACTTTGTTCTTTTCATTCTTTTTTATTTGTACCGAGCTTGTTTGTTTGTTTATTTATGTATGTATGTATGTATGTATGTATGTATGTATGTATGTATGTATTGTGGCACTGGGGATTGAACTCAGGGGCATTCTATCACCAAGGCATATCCCACACCCTTTTTTATTTTTCATTTTGAGCCAAGGTCTCACTGAGTTGCTAAGGCCTCCAAATTTGTGATCCTCCTGCTTTAATCTCCCAATTTTTCTGGGATTACAGGCATGCATCACTACGTCCGGCTTGTTGCAAGCATATTTGTAATTGCCTGATTGTCGAAGCTTTTTCGTAATGTCTTCTTTAAAATCTTTACCAGATAATTCTAACACCTCTGTCAGCTCGGTGTGGGCTTACTTTGGCTGTTTCTTCATTCAGTTTGAGATCATCTTGGTTCTTGTGGAGAGTCATTTTTGATTGAAATGTGAAAGTTTTACTCTGGATCTCACATAAAACTTCTGTTTTACCTGGTATTCTTGGCACTGCCCTGACTGAGGAAAGGCCAGCTCATTAAGGCGGAGTGAACATACAAACCGAAGTTCTCTGCTCAGCTTTCAGTGACACCTGAGTTGGGGAGCTCCTTGTTGTGTAGACTCCACTGACACTCACCTGTCCCATTTTTAGGTGGCCTTCTCTGTCACCCCTGCCAGAGGGTATTGGGTCACCTCAAGTTATAGACTCATAAGGGTAGCAGTCTAAGCTTCTCAATCTGCCTTTCCTGGAATACACTGGGATACAGGAGGCTCCTTGCCAAACCCCATTTTAGTTTCATTCTCTCGTTTTTTTCCTGTGTTGTTTGTAGCTATTATTTACTAGTTTTCTGTCTGCTGGGCTGCTCCCTGATCCCTGGCTAAAGAAAGATGCTTTTCTGGGGGGTGAGGTCTTCTCTGGTTTGTATCCTTGGCTTTTCCATTTTCCTGGCTTCTTCAATTCCCAAGTCTAGGACATAGAAGTCAAAAAGAAGATCCACAGACTCACAGCTGTGTTGCTCCTTGGGGACCAATGTCCATAGTCCGTGTGCCTTGCTTTTCTACACCATCCATAGTGTTCTTATGTTTTATATCAATGTCCAGAAATTTTAGTTGTACTTAGCAGGAAAAATAGGGAAAAGTATGTCTGCTTCATCCTCCCAGAATTAGAAGCTCTCTCATTTTACTCTTTGAGATTAGAATAAAATTTTTAGCAAAATCAGACAAGAACACCCACTAAAAAGAAAACCACAGGCAAACTATGATACTCTCCAAGCACAAATAAAAAACCCAAAATAAATTATTAACAAACCAAAATCACTGACCATAAAAACCAGAAATATATTATGACCAGTTGGAGTTTATCCAAGAAGGGAGAAAAAAAAAACATGTGAGTATTTTAATGAAGCTAGAAAAAGAAGTTGATGAATTTTAACACTCACTCATGATAAACCTGTATCTTATTAAAAAAAAAAGTAAAATGTGAATAGAGAAGAATTTCCTTACTATGATCAAAGTTCTTGATGGGGTTCAGAACATGCTAACCACAAATATGGCCTATTGACATTTGAGGAAACAGGAAAGACAGAAAGAACACTTTTACCTTCCCCCTACCCTTCTCTCAGGAAGCAAGTCATAAGATTCTCATTTGAGACTTCTATCGTTTGAATGTGACACCCCCCCCAATTAATTTATTAGAAACTTAATCTCCAAATTCATATGCTAATACTATTTAGAGGTAGGGCTTTTGGGCAGTAATTAGAATTAGATGAGGTCAAGGGCACAGCTGCCCCTTAGGAGCATTAGTGGCTTTCTAAGAAAAGGAAGAGAGACCAAAGCTCGCATTATTATGCAGTTATTATATTATTATGTTATTATGTTATTATGCATAAGGACCCCCATTAGATACCAGCTCCATATTCATGGAATTCACAATCTCTAGAACCTGAACTAAATAAATCTCTATTCTTTAAAAATCATGTAGCTTCAAGTATTCTGTTATAATAACTAAGACTGCAAAATGCCCTCCCTAATACGCAGAGGAAAGGAATATTCTTACTTCTGAGGGAACAGGAACATAAGGAAGAATCTAATGGACCTTGCTAGTTCTCTTCAGCTTAGT